AAAGGCTATTAAAGAAACTACAGCGAATGATTGTCATACGAATAATTGCAGGATACCGTACAATATCCTTCGATGCTGCAATAATACTAGCAAGAACTCCACCATGGCTATATGTAGCTGAAATGTACACTAACATCTATCAGCAAGTGAAGGAGTTAAAAAACAACGATGACTGGACGTTGAAGCAGGAGAAGAGCATAAAGAAAACGGAGGAAATTATTATGCTACAAAAGTGGAAAGAGCTATTAGAAACGCCGAGTTTACCTGGCGAGAATTTAAGAAAAGCTATAGCTGCGTCATTCGATCTATGGACCAATCGATCATTTGGAGGAATTCAATTCCATTTAACTCAATTGCTTACAAATCACGGATGCTTCGCAAAATTCCTATATAGAATACGGAAAGTGGACACAATGCAATGTGTACACTGTACTGATGGTACAATAAATATAGACACGGCAGGACACACTATGTTTGATTGTAGTGGATGGACACAGGAAAGAGATGAAATGAGAAAAGTTTTAGGTAATGTTACTAATTTAGAAGACATCATTAACAAAATATGTAGAAGTAAGGAAAACTGGTCTGCAATGTGCAAATTTGCAGAAAGTGTAATGAAACAAAAAGAGAGAAAGAACGAGAGAAAGAAATAGAAAGAAGAAGAAGCATAAGAAGAGGTAGAAGGATAAGTAATAGTAGCGGGAATAGTAGTCCAGAGTTAGACGGTAGAAATAGTAGTCCTGACTCAGGCAGCTGACAATAGTGAAGTTAGATGAAGAACACCCTCTTCTTCATCTAACTGGTCAAACATAGAGGAGTCCAGTATTAGTTCAAAGAGAGACTTGACCGGAAATCGGACAATTCGGATTAAGACGAATCGGAAACAGGTAGAGCGCTGATGCGCAATTTAGGCAAGACCTGAGGAAGGAATGTAAAAACGGTTCCTTCAGGTCTTGAGCTAAAAGTAGGCCCAATACCAACGGGCCTCACGGGAGGTGGGTTTAGCTGGTAGTCGGGATTTTACATCCCGGAGTCCAGCACTACCCGGGGGGCCGTCCCTCGGGTGTGCGTAAATGCATTCCCACCTCCCTCCCCGGATGGTAAAAAAAAAAAAAAAAAAAAAAAAGGTTAGGTGGGGGGTTGGTTCCGGACGGAGCATGACGTGGTGCGTGTTCAAGAAATTTTAAAGTGAATTACTTCGATAATTCGCGACGCGGGGAGTCTTTTTAGGCTATGTCCTAAAAGAATGAAGTGCTGTGAAGTGCATAATATGTGGGTTTTACGGAGGGACGCTGATTACGTGGGAAATTAGTGTTTAATTGTGGCTTTGTCTTGCCACCTCATATTGATGACGTGGCACTCTATACTCTTGAACATTGGTTTGTGCGAAGAATATGTGGTACCTGTCGTTAGTTTGCAAGGAGTGATTCGATTGTGTTAATAGAGACATATAATTAATGCCTATTATCTGTAGTTAATTAAATATCGTTAAAGAAGTGTCTAGTGACATTTGCCTTTGTCTCTGCCACGTGGCACTTGAGGTTAGGTTGACGCCTAGGGATATTGTCTTGTGGCGCCGCCACGCCATGTGGCACTTTAGAGATTTTAGAGATAAATTGACTTATTGATGTGTCGTGGTGTTGACCCGGAAAAGTTAATTAAAACTGAGGTTAATGAACAGTTAGTTATTGGTTATACTTTATTATATTCATAAAGAAGTGCCTAGTGACATTTGCCTAAGACTCTGCCACGTGGCACTCGAAGTATAGATCGATTTATCGTGCTGTGTAGGTTAGGTTGACGCCTAGGGATAATGACCTCTGACGCTGACATGTGGCTTCTAGATATAAATAAATTTATGGGTGTGACGTGGTGTTGATCCGGAGAAATTAATTAATAAGTGAAGTTAATGAGCAGTTGATGAACAACCGAAAGCTTGAATGTAAAGCTGTGATAAATCAATGAGGTTATAATTAGTTGATTGTTGTATGTCTATATACCTAACCTCACTTTTAAGTCATATAGGAAGTGACAGAACAACTAAATTTTTGGTTGTCTGACTGTTTGGACGGTTACGGAAGTGCAAAGGCTTTTATTTAGGTGGAAAGTGACAAGTGTTTGGTCTTTATATGTTATAAAAGTTATGATTTATAACAATAACAGTTAGTTCCCTATGGAGTGGGTATATGAACATCAACATTGATATAAGTGTCTGTGGAAATACCCTAGGAAATCTATAGTATGTGTATATTAGGTTAGGTGTTTAGTGACATTTGTTCATGTGTCTCAGCCACGTGGCACATGAAATAAACAGGAAGACTGGAATATAATGCAAATGGAGCATAATGGATAAGGTCTAAGTGACAGGCCTAATGGAGCTCCTTCCATCCAGCCTGGAATTCTGGAATGACCAAATGGGCACACAGCGGCTCGGATGAAGGTATACTTAACCCTAACCTTACTATCACTTTTTCTAGTACTCAGAAAGCATCGAGCAGTTGACTGCTCGTTCTGAAGATTCTGGGAGTTTTCTTTCTCAGTATACCTGAGTTACCTTTGGTTTGGATCTGGGGAATTTCCCCAAGTGTATCTATAATACGTGCAACAAAATCTATAGTATAGTTCTGAATGTATGATCCATACACAAGACCTCGCGCGAACTAGAAGTTCCCCCAGCGCGGGATCTATAGTGCGTGACGCGGAATATAATATAGTGTAAAGCTACGACCCGCACATAAGACATTAGGGCAATTACCTTATTGAGTCTTAACGTACTACCAGGCATGAATAAATTGATTATAAAGACTGAAAACCGGAAGTTAGCATTGGAAAAGAGAAGGAAGACGAATTTCAGTGAAAAATTCGTACTATGGTATAGACTACCCTTCGAACTTACCGAATCCACATTTCGGAAGTGCGATCTTTGGTGGCTGCGCAGTAAAAACGGGTGACTTTACGCGAATGCGCAACATGGGGATAATAATCAGGGGACATTGCCCCTTCAAAGGGCACGGCCGGAAGTGAGGTCTGCAACGGATGCGCGGTGGACTTGGGACACCTCTATTGGTTGTGTCTGGTAGGACCGGCTTTCGGAAGACTAAAACATCGACCTTAAGTAATATAGTTAACGTGCAACACATAGGCCTTGTAGAGTTATTCTAACTCAAAAAGGTGATAAATTAGCTTATAAACATGAATTTAGTAACTTCCACTAGCCGCTGGTAAATTTTGCTGGGACAGTAATTCCCCTAGTGAGGATCTATAGTATGTGCAGCTAAGTATATAGTATAATATAGACCTATGATCAATATATAAAACATTGAATATGCTAACACATATTATACATAAGAGGACGAATTTTTACTACCAGATCAAATAACATTGGTAGTCGGAATAGCGATAATTTTCAAAACAAATTAAGATATATACCAAACTATTAATTTAAATAAATAATAATGAGAGGAAGGAAAAGGAACTAAAAACCATTTATATATTAATTTTCACACATTTATTCTTCGCTTAGTTATAATTACGTCACTTTGCACGCTTTTTATGATCGTGCGACGCAGGACCACTCTGCAGGAAGTCAAGTGGTTAAATACCCGGTTCGACACCGACATCACGATGGTCGCAAGGCGCAGGACTCCCTCGACCCTGTGACACCTTAATAAGGCCACCCGCTTGGGGATGAGCAACCCCGGATAGCGCCGACGATGCGGGTGCCCCTGGCGGCCGGCCTTCCTCGGAGGCATTTTTCTTTTCTTTTTTCTTTGTTCGTCTGAAAGGGTTAATTAACTGTTAATCAGTGACGGGTTCATCCACCAAACAGGCAATTAATAATAAAATAATCTAATGATAGTTACCTGAAGAATATCTATTCTGGAAGCGTGACGGAGAAAGCGACCCTTCTGGTTTGAAACTCTCCATTGAAGTGACGTACAATTGCGATAAAAAATGTTGGAATGTTAGGAATTTGAACTTTTTTGAGCTTTCCCTCGGGGCAAACTTTTTCAAACTTTTCGCGGAACTCAGAATACTACCGATTATGAATAATTTTGAGTCCGGCAGATTGAAGACCGGAAGTAGGCATAAATAGAGAGAAGGAAGGCGAATTTCGGTGGGAAAACCAGGATATAGGGTTGGTTACCCCCTGATCTGATCGAATCCACATACCGGAAGTGCGATATCTGACGGCTGCGCAGTAGATCTGGGTGGCTTTCTACGGATGCGCGTCGGGTGGACAGTAATTGGGAGATATTGTCCCCCTAAATAACACTGTCGGAAGTGATATTGAAAACCGGAAGTGGGCATAAACAGACAGAAGGAAGGTGAATTTTGGCGGGAAAACCGGGCCATAGGATTGGTCACCCTTTGAACTAATCGAATCCGTATACCGGAAGTGCGACATTTGGAAGTTGCGCAGTAGATTTGGGTGGCTTTCTGCAGATGCGCGTCGGGTGGATAGTAATCGGGAGGTATTGCCCCACTAAATAGCATTGCCAGAAGTGAAATTAAAAACCGGAAGTGGGCACAAATAGATAGAAAGAAGGTGAATTCCGGCGGGAAAATCGGGCCATAGGACTGGTCAATCTTCGGGCTAGCTGAATCTGCATACCGGAAGTGCGGGGTTTGGTGGCTGCGCAGTAGGCTTGGGTGGCTTTTGTGAATGCGCGTGGCGCGAACAGTGACCGGAAGGCATTGCCCCCCTGAGTGGCATCTCCGGAAGTTAGGTCTTTAATGGATGCGCGATAAAATTAGGACGCCTCTAGTGGAAGCGTACGCGGCGATCAGACATTGGAGGGTCGCATTCCCTCCCTCGTAAAGCATACCGGAAGTAGGAATAGTGGTCGGCATACGGTGAACTCCGATCTGGGGAATTTCTCCCTAGAGAATCTATAATTCTAGGGGTATAGTGACTTGGAAATGGGTAAACATAGTCGATAAGAAAGTGAACTCCGACGGAAGAATTATTTAGTAGTGACGATCATTACCTGAACTACATGTACCCGCATGCCGGAAGTGCGGACTTTGACGGCCGTGTAGTGGAATTGGATAAACTTGAGTGTATGTGCCCTGTGTGAACAAGTATAACAAGGTGTGGCACTGCCGATTAGGGCCCTCGAGGGTCGTTTTTGCTGACGGGCGCGCAGTGGACTCGTGCGGCGTTGAGGGGCGCACAGGAAGCGGGGACCCTGTATTGCGGATGGCTGGGACGTCGCTCCTGTGGTCGACACCGTTGAAATTCTGATTGGACTGAAGTGAATGGAGACCCGATGGTGGCGCGGTAAGTGTTCTGAGCTATTTGAACACCTTCTATAGACACGGGAGCGACGTCCAAGTTTCCTAACTAAGGGTATAGGGTTTTCTGGAGAAACTAACTAGGCCCTAGGAATTTTTCCGATACCTGAAGTATCTAGCTTTATGTACTGGACTGATATAACTATTTCTTATTTTTGCTACATACTTGGACTTAGTAGAGGTGAGCGGGCTCTTAGGGGGGGCTCGACGATCTGGTAATACCTCCAGATTGACCTGAGGCCTTACCCCACCGGGAGCCCGCAAAGATCTTATTTAGTAGGGAAATATACAGCGCGGGATGCGGTAATGGTGGCCCCCGTATGATTCAGGTATATGGTAGGCCAACCGTCTAGATAGATTAAATTGTATCCCGTTTTTTCGCTGTTATCTAAACCTAGAGATAGTCTCATCGAGTGAGTCTACAGGAAGAAATGGTTAGAATTTTGGATATACAAAAATATATGCATACAATGGCCAGCAATCAAAATACACCAGAAGAAATTTTTGGCCATGCGATACATAATCTTTATAAAATCGAAAATGACTTTCTGAAAAGAGGGAAACATGAGCTGAGAAATAGAACACGTGCTACGATCGCTCAATTAAAATCACTATATGATTATGGACAACAAATGTGTGTGGCTAGACTGTATGTAATCCATCGACTTAGGGTGTTTGAAGCACGGGAACACGAATGCAGAGCTCAGTATATTAAGAGGGATTACACCAATTTATGAAGACGAGACAAATAGTGACAAAAAGGAAAAAGATCACTTACAGAAAGATCCCCAACCTTGTGAGGATGACACAGAACTAGATATCATTATGGATACTAGAATGATTAAGGAGATCGACCTTTCGGAAGCTGCTCTACGAGATATTAGCAGAAGAATCGAGGAAAAAAAGAACACCTTGTCTGACATTGAACAACAAATGAATGACGTGTTCACTCTATTAACATCATCTGGAGAATATGGTGCACTGTCTCAGCAAGGAAAAGAACCAATTGGAATTCTTGGTTCTATTGGGTCTGAGTGGACCCAGGGTCTTGTATCACCCAACCACCCTAGAGATGGGGACACTCGAATTTTGTCTCCAAACAAAGATAATATGGACATGGACAACGAATTAGAAATAAACTTACAGCCGCAGAGGTCTCGGAGCCTCAGTGGCGTACCAGCCCTACGGTCCCTGGGGCGGGTATGTCTTCATCATACGTAGGGCTTGCTCTCTCCCTGGCGACGGGGGAGGAGCGTAAATTGGCTACCGTCGATGCTATGACAGGATGAAGTCGCTAACTTATTATCCATGGATTCCCTCAGTACAATGCAGGGGGAATCCGAAGCAAGGAGGAAATCCCTCCGGGAGGAAGAATTAAAAACTCCCAGTACTAAGAGAAAGGCCCGAAGCTCTCCTGGTGCACCTTCGCCCAGCGACAAAGAGACGGGACAGGTTTCACCAGCAATGGGGGTAACTAGGAAAACTACAATTAGGAAACGGAAGATAAGGACAAAAAAGATTTGTCGAAATACAGAGCAAGCTACGAATCCGTTACTGGACTCATCTTTCACTGAGTCATTGGACGAATTTGAAGAAAGTGGGGGTAAAAATGAAGAAACACCCGAAGAGAAAGATGACAATATGGAAAGTACAACGAAGCCGAGAAGAATAACCAGATTATCTGGGAAAACAGAAGATAGGGAAAGAATACAGGTCATCTCTAGTGACGAAGAAGACAGCATGGCAGTTATATCATCCGCTAGCTCAATTAAAGAGACTCGAGGCAGGAAAAATAAGGAATATAATAAAAATAAAAATAAAACTAGAAATATAACCACAAGAAAGGATAGTCTAGGGGAAGAGGGTTCCCTAGATTTAACTAATGAAGATAGGATTAATGAAACAGGAAATATAGATAAACCACACGAAAGGGGGAAAGGATTAACATATAAATTGCCTAACAAAATCTCTCAAAACAACAGGCAAAATAAGGTAGACTATGGACTCTGGACAACACACGAAGTAAAAGCTTTCGCATTAAAACTAATAGAAGATATTGACACAGCTAGGATGAAATGCAGTAAACTCTAAGGTGTAATAGATGAAGTCTTAAAGGACAGAATAACGGGCCTAAAGGATGTCGTAGAATGTCTGGTCGATAAAATCGAAGCACAAGGGGATATTAAACAACTACAGAAAGAAAGATTAGAAGCTGGCACAGAAAATAAACGATTAAAAAAGGATATCAATAAACTCGAACAGATTATCAACCAGAAGGATAAGGAGACGGAAGGAATAAAATTAATGTATGAAGAAATAGAAGAGAAATACATCCAGATGGAAGGTAATAGGAAGAAGGAAATGAAATTACTAGATGGGAACCCCGTAGCTAGTAAAGAAGATATGAAGGTCAGGAATTTACTACAAGATACCTATGCGCTAGTAAAAGAAGATGAACCAGTCTTCAGATCTCCAATAAAAGGCGTCAGAAAACAACTCCCGATAACCGGTAAAAAATTTAAACATCCAGAAACATTCTCGTTAACCCCTCATGGGGGAATTGGAGTAATAAGAGACATCTCTGAGACTGATTACACAGCCTTCCTGGCAGCTGGGGATATGGATACAATAACCCCAACCAGAGAATATGCAAACGAGCAGAGAAGTGAACTAGGAATTACAAATTCTGACAAGGAAAAAGTTAATGAAATCAGTAGGCAAATTAGAATGCTGAATGAAGAACGAAAATTCTTGACCAGAAAAAGGAAGGATAGAATTGAAGAAAATAAGGAGAAACCTAGAATCACAGGAAATGTGCAACTCATCCCGCCTAGGCACACCTACAAACAAGGAACTACTAGAGACAATCCAAATAACCAGGAATTATCGGAGGACCACGACCCTTACGTCGAGGAACAGACTAGGGAATATCTAAACACTCGGGAAACAGTTAGGAATAGACGACCGAGTGATAAATCAACTAGAAGGAACTCCAATAGAGGGGCTGACCCTAGGACTGGCATAAGGATAAGGAAACCACCTAAAAATGCGGTAGTTGCTATTCGAACACGCGACGAGACAACTAGTTACGCAGCCATACTTAAAAAAGCTAGACAGGAGGTATCGTTAGGGGAACTCGGAATCGAGACAACCAGGATTAAGAAGGGAATCAATGGCAATCTACTAATTGAAATCCCTGGTACCGAGGGAAAGAAAAAGGCCAAAATTCTCGCGGAAAAACTTCAGGAAAAACTAGGCGATGAGGAAGTTGCTATTACCAGACCCACAGCTATGGGGGAAATTAGGATTACTGGATTAGACGAGTCAGTCACAGTCGAGGAAGTGAAGCATTTAATTACCGAAACAGGAGGTTGTAATAATGATGAAGTAAGGATTAGTCCAATCAGACGAATGTACAACGGTATGGGCTCTGTCTGGATTCGATGTCCGCTGGTCTCTGCTAACGCATTGGCCCAAACAGGGAAAATTAAGATTGGACAGTAGCAAGAATTGAGCTCCTCGCCAAAAGACCTTTACAATGCTTCAAATGCTGGGAATTTGGACATGCTAGATTCTCGTGTCGATCTCCGATTGACCGAAGCGGACATTGCTATAACTGTGGAATACCCGGACACACGGCTAAAATGTGTGAGAAAGAGGAACCAAGGTGTGTGATCTGTGCGCGGAAAAATTACCAGGCAAATCATAGGATCGGATCTCGCTTTTGTAAAATGATAACCCATACAGGACCAAGAAAATCGTCATGGAAAACAGGAATATACGTAAGAAGAGAGGAAAAACCCCGAACCATAGGAAATTTTGTGACTCAAGAGGAAACAATGGAATATGATGAAGGGAATTATCATCGTTCAGATAAATCTGAATCATTGCTGGGGTGCACACAATATCCTCCAGCAATTTATGAAGGAAAGGGAGATTGAAATTGCATTCATCTCGGAACCAATATATATACCAGCGAAAAACTGGGTCAGCAGTATGAATAAGAATGCCGCTATATGTTGGTCACCAAACTCAAATACCCGGATTATCGAATCTATAAAGGAAGAAGAATTCGTGGCACTAGAAATAGAAGACATAATAATGATATCATGCTATATCTCGCCTAAATACAGCCTGAAGGAATTCTCCGCGGTTCTAAATCGAATAGAGAATAGAATTAAAAATTTAGACAAAGGAAGACAGATAATTTTAGGAGGAGACTTTAATGCGCACTCACTGGCATGGGGCTCCCGATATACATCTAGTAAAGGGAAAAAGTTACTAAACCTTATGGAAGAACTAAACTTGTTACTAGTTAATAGTGGAAATAGCCCAACTTGTACTAGACAACAGGGGAATTCAATAATAGACCTGACCTGGGCGACGCCCAAAACCTTAGGTAGAATCGGAAAATGGACAGTCGAAGACACGGTGCTGTCCCTCTCAGATCACAATTACATTACCTATAGTATAAATATGAAGAAACTCGCACACATCCCAGTTGCTCCTACTAGTACACCTCGACGATGGAGAACCGACAATATAGACGAAGAACTATTTGAGGAAGCAATAGAATGGAGTTGTCACTCCTGTAGTTTTCAAGGTACTCCAATAGCAAGGGATGTGGAATGGATCGATAAAACTATATCTCAGGCCGCTGACTTATCCATGAAAAGAGCTAAAAAACCAGGAAAGAGAAAACAAGCGTACTGGTGGAACAATAATATAGCGGAACTAAGACTGAAGTGTAACTATCATAGAAGAAAGTGGACTAGAGCAAAATCCAGCTGCAAGAAAGATAAAACTAAGGCTCATACAAATAAATATAACCAGGAGGAACTTTCTGAATTAGCAAACCTGTATAAAGTAGCGAAAAAAGATCTTAGTCAGGCAGTATATCAGGCAAAAGAAAATTCTTGGAAGGAACTAATTCGAGAGATTGATAAGGATCCCTGGGGAATTCCCTACAAGCTAGTTATGAATAAACTAAAACTTAGTGGTCTCAGTATAAGAGAAATACTTGATGAACATACTCTCAAAGAGGTAATTCACAAGCTATTCCCCAGAGATAAAAATAGGAACTACAACTTGAAGTGTAGGCGTAACGAATGGAAGGAGGAATGGGACTTGTGAGACTGTGAGTTTTGCGGAAACTAATAGAGTGCTACGCAGAAAAAACGCTAGGAATACGGCACCTGGAATAGACGATATTTCGAACAAAATGTGGAAAAAGACCCCAAACAATATGATCAATAAGGTTGCGGAAATATTCACCAAATGCATGCGGGATGGGGAATTTCCTGCCCAATGGAAAAGAGCAAGACTGGTATTAATCCCCAAAGGTAAAATTGAGGAACAAAGGGTTCCCAAGGCTTGCCCCATATGCCTGATAGATGACGTTGGCAAAGCCTTGGAACGAATCATAGTGGAGCGTATTGAAAATTGGACGCAAGAAATGGCAGAGAAAGGATATCATAACCCCACAATTTGTAAAGATCAATACGGCTTCAGGAAAAATAAGTCAACAATCGACGCCCTATCTAGAGTGACAGAACAAGCTATGGAAACAAGAAATGCAGGAAGAGTAACAATGCTGTTAAGTCTCGACATCGAAAACGCATTTAACAGCATCCCATGGAAAGAAATCGGTGATACATTAAAAAAGAAGAGATTCCCTAAATATCTAAGGAAAATACTGTATAGTTACTTTCACGACAGATATGTCGAATACACAAATAAATCTGGTGCTATAGTCCAAACTAGCGTAGAAAGAGGTGTCCCACAAGGATCAGTACTGGGACCATTAATTTGGAACTTGGTTTACGACCAAGTACTTAGAATTAAAAAAGAGGAAGACTGTGAAGTAATTGGATACGCAGATGACACCCTGATCATGGCTACGGCAGACACATATAAAGAAGCGAAATTCATGGCACACATTCAGGCCGAAAGAATTATACGTACCATCCGGAAAATAGGACTCAAAGTTGCGGTGGAAAAAACGGAAGCTATGATCTTCTTCGGCAAAAAGGGTAAAAGACCGCCCAAAGAGGACTTCCTGAAACTAGATGAGGTAAAAATCCCGATAAAAAGACAGCTGAAATACCTAGGAATGATCCTGGATAGCAAACTGAGTTTCGCGGAGCATTTTCGATATGTTGGTGAGAAAGTTGAGAAAATTAAAAGAGCCCTATGTAGGTTCATGCCGAATCTTCGAGGGCCTCATGAAGATAAAAGAAGGCTATATGGTCATATCATGCAGTCTATAGTCATGTATGGTGCACCGGTATGGTATGACCAATTCATTAAGAATTCCACTATACAAAGGCCGTTGCAAAAAATACATAGATACATAGCCACTAGAATAATTTCAGGTTATAGGACTATTGCATAAGAAGTTGCAATCCTGCTAGCCAGAACTCCTCCCTGGACCCTAGTGGCTCGTAAATATAAAAATACATATCACAGAACCAAGGAGCTAAAGAACAGAAACGAATGGGACAAACGTGCGGAGAAAGCATTGAAAAAGGAGGAAGAAGACAAAATGTACACAGGATGGAGGCAACGGCTTGGGAACAAGGAGTTACCTGGACGTAAATTAATAGAGGCCATTCTCTCTAGCTTTAGGGACTGGATTGTTAGGGAATCTGGGGGAATGAATTTCTCACTAACCCAGATCCTGACAGGCCACGGCTGTTTCAACGATTACTTATAGCGAATTAAAAAAGTTGAGTCAGCAATGTGCTCCTATTGTGAAAGATACATTGACGACGCAGAACATACACTGTGCCAATGTGTAGAATGGATTAGAGAAAGAGAAGAAATGAAGGTAGTAATTAACCAAAACATCAGCCTGAGGACGTACATAGAAGCAATATGCATCAACAGAGAAACATATCTAGCGGCTAACACCTTCGCTCATAAAGTCATGAGTAAGAAGGAAGAAGATGAAAGAAAAGCAAGACAGCAAAGAGAACAGGATAGCGCAACAGGAACACTGATCATCCCCTGACGCAACGTGTCTCATTCACTCAGCCACTCTTATCACACACATACTCCTCATAAATCTCACACACATTTCCTTTCATTACTTTGTGACACGGGAAGGAACCATGAAAGTCCACATGGTCATCTAGGAAGCCAACAATAACAACAATAAGAATATATCCTCAAACAAGTTGGAAAGCGGGTCATAAGTCGCCTAACTGACATCAGGGAAGAATGCAAAGCTGTCCCCTTGATGCCGGCAGTCAGAATGATAGTCACACCGTCAATCCTAGGGAGAGTTTTAGTCGGTAAACGGCGAGTATAATAGCCGGAGCCCGACAGTACCCTGGGAAATCCGCGCCCAGGGTCTGCGTAAGGCATTTCTCTTCCTTCCGAGCCGCACGGTAAAAAAAAAAGGTTAGGTTAGGTTAGGTTAGGTTAGGTTGGGGTGCGCGCCCTTCAGGATTGTCCTGCTTGGGATGTGCAGCGCCGTGTCCTCCGCGCCGCGGTCGGAGACGACCTCTCGCTTCCGGCCATCGTCGAAAAGATGGTCGGGAGCGAGGACGCCTGGGACGCCATGGTCTCCTTCTGCGAGGAAGTTATATCGCAGAAGGAGGCCGCGGAGAGGGTGAGGGAAAATGATCCGGATGCTCACCCTATCCGCAGGAGGAAGGGGGGTGCACGGAGGAGGGCCTATGCCCTCCAGAATCCGTAGCGCTCCCAGCGGGGATTTATTGCCCCGCACTTCCTCCAGTGGCGGGCCGAGGGAGATTAATATTCTCTCCCTCGGCTAGGGGCTGGGGGGTTCCTCTGTGCGCTGGATGAGCGCAGAGGTTTCTTCCCCCCGCATTATAGCCCCATCCCAGAAGGGTGGCGAGGCAGGGCGACCTGGCCTCGCCGCCATTCCTGTAGTGGGGTGGGGTGATTATCACCCTAGCCCCGCCTCCTACCGAGAGACCTCTCTTCAACCGAAGAGGGGTCGTAGCACGAGTATGGAGGGTCGCGGTTGATTGCGCAAGCGTTCCCGCGGCCCTCCCGGTAGCGTGCGAAGAGGTCGCCTTGGAGTTTTAGCGGGTAGTCGGGGCATTAGCCCCGGAGTCCCGCATAACTCCCCCCCTTATCATCCTTGGGGGGAGTATGCGTCAATGCATTTCTCCAAGTAAAAAAAAAAAAAAAAAAAAAAAAAAGGTTGGGGTGCGCGGATACGCGTGAGGAAAGACGTGTGTGCGTTCGGGAAGTTTTTAAACGGAATTTTTTCGATTATACGCGACACAGGGAGCTTTTTTGAGGCTATGCCCTAAAAGAGTGAAGTTTTGTGACGTGCATATTATGTGGGCTGTGCCGGGAATCGCCTTTAATGTGAATAATCGATGGTTATTGTAGCCCGGCCTCATCGTCCCACGGTGATGACGTGGCATTTCATACTTTCGAATATTTGTGATGAGGGAGATCCAAGTGGTTAATCTGCTCTTACTGAGTAGTCGGTGATGGATTTTTTGATAATAAAGATATATGATTAATGTTTATTAGTTATATTTTATCAAATACTTGTAAAGAAGTGTCTAGTGACATTGGCTGTGACTCTGCCACGTGGCACTTGATGTATGACTCATCGAGGTATCGATACATCGTTCGAGAAAAGTTGCCAAACCATAGTAACTTTGCATATTACTTGTTTTTAAAATAATTAGGAGCTTTGGGAGTGTAAATTGAGAGGACAAAATTACTTTGTGGATTATTTTTAGATTTTCTAGTGGTGGTGAAACTCTAGAAAACAATAAATCTATAGTTAGTTCTCTGCCTGAATGAGGGTGTACATAACCTCATTTTAGACAGAAAGTGATAGTGCTTGGAAAATCCCTTGGTGGATCTATAGTTTGTGCCTTGTAACATTGCTTATGACTCTGCCACGTGGCACCTGATGTATGACTTGCTTTTTCGAGATTTGCTAGTGGTGGCGAAATTCTGAAAAACAGTAAAATCTTTAGTTAGTTTCTTGCCTGAATAAGGGCTCACATAACCTCAATTTAGGCCAAAAGCGACAGTGCTTGGAAAAGCCTTCTGTGAAACTATAGTTTGTGCCTAGTGACATTCGCTTGTGACTCTGCCACGTGGCACTTGATGAAGGATTTGACTCAGCGAGGTATCGATATATCGCTCCTGTAAAGTTACTAAACGGTAGAAACTTTGCATACTACTGGTAATTAAAGTAATTAGGAGCCATGGGAGTGTGATCCGAGTGGACAAGATTATTTTTGTGGATTATTTTTAACTTCCAGTGGTGGCGAAACTATGGAAAATAAAAATCCATAGTTAGTTCCCTGTCTGAATGAGGGCTTACATAACCTCACTTTGGACAGAAAGTGACAGTGTTTTGAAAATCCCCTTTGGGATCTATAGTTTGTGTAGATTAAGTTGATGCCTAGTGATATTTGCTAGTGACTTTGCAACGTGGCACTTGATGTATGACTTGCCTCATCGAGGTATCGATATATCGCTCCTGTACAGTTACTAAACGGTAGAAACTTTGTATACTACTTGTAATTAAAGTAATTAGGAGCCTTGAGAATGATTCGAGTGGACAAGCCTTTTCTATGGATCATTTTCAGATTTCCAGTGGTGGCGACACTCTGGAAAACAACAAAACATACAGGGTGGGACAAAAGTCTGGAAACACCCTTGTAACTTTTGAACAGATCAAGGTAGAGAGTTGCAATTAGGAGGGATTTTGATAGGATCATAAAAGCTATTTTTTTATCAGGATGGCACCCCCCACCCCTTTGGGACAAAGGGGCGGGGGTGAGTTAAAAATCTTAAATAGAATGAGGGGTCGAGTGAGGGCTCGTTTGAAAGGTCTTTCCAAGACGAGAACAACGCGGGGTCACTGAGGTCTTTACGATTTTTTTTCACAGAGTTATGATTATTTAAATATTTCTACTCAAATTTTGCGATAACGCGAGGGTCCACAGTAAGGACGTGATGGCTATTAGACTTCGCGTGTTTAATGTTTGCGGACGCGCGTAACGGAGATCAAGACCCTGAGATTCGTCACTTTCCCAGTATTTTGTGACTCCAAACTTTCTCCGTTTTACGCGTGCGCGCGCGCGAGCGTGTGTGTGTAGGTCAGTGGGTCGATAAACGAGATC